GTGGGCTGGTGTGTGGTGTGTGGGTTTTTAAAATATTTTTTTTTTGGGGGGGGGGGGGGAGAAATAGTCCATCCCTCCCATTCAATTCTAATTATTCCTTGCGACTCTCTCAGGCTGCAATGTGTCAAATGGGAGTACCTCAAAACAGTGGCGTGGTATGTCTTCCCAATTTTTGAATCATGGAAAAAAAAAACGGGAACTGCTTGGTGGAAATATGGCCTTCATGGGTTTCTTCTGGCAGTGGCATAAAGGATATAAACATGTTAACAGAGTGCGCCTCTCTGTTAATGACACGTGTTGATTTCCTGAGGAATCTGATTGTGAGTTGGTGTTTTTAAAAAATTGGTGGAGTATTTGTGTTTTTTTGTAACAGTCAAGGCAAAGAGCTTGATTTTCAGGACACCTGCTTAGCACTTGTAAACGGGAAAACAAATGATTGGGCCTACAGTGACGTTAATTTTTTTTGGTGACGTCAAAACCCAGTAGCACCAGTAGACCAAAATCCTTTTTTACTAGACTTTTATTTCTATAAAAGTGATTTTTGTTTCAAAACTACTTTTTTTCCTGAGCCTGTTGGACTGAAACCATCATTTTGCAAAAATCATTTCACTGAAAAAAAAACCAAACTGTGTCCAACAAATGATATATATTTTTAAACTGTATCTTAATTCGACATTGTACTGGGAGCTGAACCCTGGAATGTTCTGGTCTAGTTTGCATACCTATAGTCGTGAATACCCTGTGTTTTGCTGGACTTATTCACTCATATAGTCCAACCTCTTGTACAATATATTTAAAGGTATTTTCATCTGCATCCTAAGGTCAAAAGTTGAATATGTTGGGGTTATCCAAATCTTTTGGGTGTCTGTTGAACTACAATCACCGAGTTGGTATTGTATCTGTACCGTCTGAACACCTCGGTCATTTATATACACTTGGCATTGTGATGCAATAGCTTGCGCACAGAAACATTATGGAGTTTATTTTATGTTCTCATAATTTTAAAAATATATAGATATATATATAGATATAGATATATATATAGATATATATAGATATAGATATAGATAGAGATATATATAGATATATATATAGATATATATCTATATATATATGTGTATATTTAAAAGTTATTGTTGAAGGAAACAGAAACATGCTTAATCTATCCATTCCACATGCAGTTAAAAAAAAAATCTAAATCAAATGTTGCATATCGCTTTGGCAAGGGAGGCAACGTAGCATATTTTCTTTGAGTCTTTTAGGCTTTCCGTTCTTGTTAATATTTGTATCTTTTGTTCTTTAACATACAAAAACTTTCCTTTTTTGACATGTTAGTGCACATTAAGAGCAACAGACAACAACATGAACCCACACGTCGAAAAGATAAGCAAATGAGACCCCCACAACCCTCCCAAAATAAAAATTGCATAATTTCACATTGACAAATAGAAAAACGGACTGTGTGTGGAGAGTAGTTGAATGTTGGAAGAAATTTGCTTTGGGTAGTGGTGGACCACTGAAAAAGCACACATTTTTCCCCGGTGTCCTTTTACGTCCCACAATGACAGAATCTTAGGCAGCTGCACGCCAAGTTCAACGTGTGTGTCCATCATATTCTAAAAATAGAGTCGGATGCCAGAAGTGACCTGCGTTGCGGAGATGAGAGCAGTTCTGGGTAGTGACTGCAGAAGGAGCTGCAGATAGTACAGGACATTGGCTTGGCTTTAAGGCTCAAGGTCAGTGATAAGCCTTTTACTACAAGTGCGAGCTCGAACTGAGGAGCAAGCCAAGACTCCAACTCTATTCTTAGCTATTCTGGAGTGTCCTTGTCAGCGTATCTGCCCAGCACAACACATCAATCCCAAATGAGGAGTATCCAAGATGCTTGGAAAGAGTCTAAATCTGGGGATAATCACCTGGAAGAATCGGAGAGATAATGAGAGTGTGAGTGAGTGGCGAAGTGAGATTTTAGTGTCATCCTTTGTCCTTTGTCGTTCCAAGACAGACTGGAGCGTGCGCTTGTTGACAAGAGAAGGCCCTGTTGTGTTATGACACACATTTACAAGGCTAACTCTATTAGCGCTAAGCGCGCAGTCTTGACTTTAATGGATGTTGGACAACGGTTGTTGAATTCACCATTTGTTATTTTCAAGAAAAGACTTCAGATAACTTTCATGAGTCATTGGATTAAGGACAACTATTGCTGGTGGCTCACAGAAGTACAAGAATGGACAAGTAACCGCTCCATGGCTCTGTACTGTACTGTATGCTTCTATTCTCACAGATTTAAGAGGAAACGAAATCCTGTATACTTTAGAGTCGCAATGTTGGCATTTAATGTTTCAATATGAATACAGAAGCAGAAGGCAGTAATAAAGCAATTCAATTTGCAAAGTTAATGTTGGCGAGGACCACCACGACGGTTTTGGCTCCAATTCAGCGAAGTCATTTATCTTCCTAAATGATTCAGGTTGGGGCTTTTACAAACAGTCTTGAATTAGAGCCCTCTTGAAATCTAATGCAAGTACAGTGGAGGCTCAATAGTAGAAACTTGGTTAGGGTTACGGTTGCTCTATTCGCTCAACTGGAGATAAGAAAATATTCTTTCTGATATCGGCAGTGATTCTAAACAAGGAGACTGCTTTTCCCTGTCGACTTTTTCTCCAATCAACTTCAGTTTTTCTACATATGGATTTCGAAAGACTGGTTCCATTGTGTCGATGTAATGAACAGGTGTCCTTATAGGGAGCTTTTTCACTTTCAACTAGACATAAGTAGGCCGATGACCAGTAAGACTAACAATGAATAAGGCTTCTTTTCGCGTTTTCCGTTTTGCGAGCAGGCCCTCAAATATGGCGCCGGAAACTGAACATTGTGGGTAAAATGACATCATCGAGAAGGGCCGAGATACGATGTTGCCAAATTGAAGGCAGTGTTTTATATTTTGGTTTCTGTTCTCACCAGTGGGGAAATGTTGTTAGGAGCCCTAACGAATCACTTCAAATATTTCAGTGCATCAGACGTGTCTGATTATAAATAAAACGTAATATGTTGCAGTCGCTTGATTGGAAGAACATGGAGAGCATCACCTTTCAAATATTTGGCATGTGTTTTTTTGTGCCAAGTAGCTATTACGATGTTGTGTACGTCCTCGTGTTGTGCGTGTCCTGACATTTTTCTTGAAGTAATATTCAAAAATCATAACAATTACAGTCATGTTTATGTGGGCCACACCTAATTCGGAAATCTTCTGGCAATATCCTCAGAAGCTCTAGTATTCAAGTTTGAAGCTGATGCAACGCCGCAGCTACTCTTAATTCGGAAATCTTCTGGCAATATCCTCAGAAGCTAAGTTCTAGCATTCAAGTTTAAAGCTGATGCAACGCCGCAGCTATTCTTAGCTGCAATCTGGATTTTTTTTTTTCGTTTGTCTGGTTACAACTGAGATCGCCACTGCGTTGAGACATTTCTTTGTCTCTGCAGCAGAATCAGCAAAACTATATTTGCATCATCCTTTGCACAACCTCTTGAAGCTTATTCCTGACAGATGAAGCAGTCCAAAGTACAGAATCACATGTTGTGTCTTTCCACCACTGTAATATACCGTATATTAGAATGACATTTTCAAAGTGGGGACCAAAGCATCCCTGTACTGTGTCTTATTTCATAGGCTCAGTGTGTTAACTGTATCTGTTTGTCTGAGAACCAAGAATTTTTCGAGACTGCTATCCCAGCTGACTAGTCACCAATCAATAACAGGGCACAGCCTCTCACACTCACATTCACACCTGTGATCCATTTATTTGTTTTCAATTAACCTCAAATGCATGTTTTGTTTTGTTTTTTTTTTCGAAGCCGCAGCACCCAATTGTAAAATTCCGCACAGGAAGCCCGAGATGAGATTTTGATTCCAGAATCTCTCGCCTGTGCGGCAGTATCACTACCCACTACACACCAATATACCCCCATAAACTGCAATTCACAGCCAAAATTCCTTCAGTCCACCACTCTCCCACTTGTCTTGAAAAATCAAGGTGCAACACTTTGAATTTTTGTTTTTTTCTGATACTTTCAGAGCGCTCTCTGACTTGTCTTTTACATTGCATGCATGCTGAAATAATTCCTTCAGTCCACCACTCTCCCACTTGTCTTGATAAATCAAGGTGCAACACTTTGAATTTTTTTTTTCTGATACTTTCAGAGTGCTCTCTGACTTGTCTTTTACATTGCATGCATACTGAAATCCGCTCACGGGTTTCAATGCACAAAAAAAAAAAAAACTCTCCATACAACAGCTTGATTCTTCAATAAAATTGCCTCACGTAAACATTTTAGTTGCTTGAACCCCATGCAGCTGATTTTGAAAACGCAAATCGAGGCTCTTTGTGGAAAAACAACATGTTAAATTTGATTGTTGCGTTTGAAATGTAAATTAGCAAGGTTTGTAAAAAAAAAACAAAAAAACATGTAAAAGCATTGGGTCAAACAAAATCAGGTGCATATCCTCAAAAAGATGGACAAACAAACAAAGCTCATAACCCTTCCCTCCATGGGCCAATTAAACAGTTTAGTCAGTGAAAAAGATTGAGAAAAATAAAATGAAACAAAAAAAAAAAAATTCATACAGTAGGAAAAAAAACACGAAAAGATGGACAAACAAACAAAGCTCATAACCCTTCTCTCCATGTGCCGATTAAACAGTTTAATCAGTGAAAAAGATTGAGAAAAATAAAATGAAACATTAAAAAAAAAAAAAAAAAGACAATTCATACAGTAGGAAAAAAAAAGCAATGCCACAAACGCCCCACACATAAAGATAAATAAATCTATTTGGATATACTCTAAATGGATAAATATCACTCATATACTCTTTTCATCTTTTCAACGATAAATCGGTCTCTCACTGATGGCACCATTGCATTCTAAAAAGAAAATGAGAACCCATTGTGATATTTTGGATACATTTGAAGTCCTCTGTCCTCCTTCTGTTCCCTTTTCCCACGCGTCCTTCTGGACGGGATCTCCCTCGACCCTCAGCACCCTGGAACGCTGCGAGGAGGAACGTTTGCTTTGTGCTTTGGGAGAGACAAACATTTACAACACCACGTCCACGTGTTCATGAGTTCATCTCCAACATCGACGTAGAAGGAGAGCAGCGAGGGTCGTTACTGTCATCCGAAGCCCCCCCTGGGCGCTACATAGCTGCCAACTCTGGTGTAAAAGCGAGCGAGAGATAGGAAAGAGGAGTGAAAAAAAAAAGTGCTCACGGTACTAGCTGTGTTTGTGTTAGAATAATATTTTGCCAAGAGACAAAACATAAACACCATCATTCTTCTCTTGGCTTTGGCTTGGATGGGGATGACGATAATCAGAAGCAGCTCCCTCTCGCTTGGCTTCATTTTCAGCCGCGGGAGGAAGCGACGGAGCCACGCACCCTCTGTTCCCCTCTTTCACGTTTTGCCAGAGCGTCATGTCCCCCTCCGAGTCTCTCACACTCACAAACTCTTTTCTCCTATCGTGCCTCTGACAGGTCTTCCGTTCCTTGTTTTTCTGCTGTTGCCGCTCATCATCTCTGTTCCATCCATCCGTTTTTTGTTTTTTTTTTTTTTTGGTTTTTTTTCAGTGAAGCGGACATAGTCCAGAAAAGCACCATGGGATGCGTCAAGAGACTGCCATCATCTCCCCCAGTGTCCCCAAATAACACAAAGCAGCCTCATTTGCTTGTTCCCTGTCCAGCCCTGCGAGCATTTGTCTCTCACAGTTCAGAGAGAGCTCGTAGTAGAAAATGGCAGTTAGAATATCTCTCGAAAATGAGATTAAAATGTGTTCATCGTGATTTCTGTCTTTATGTGTCTCTTGAGTCTTCCGTTTCTTGACTTAACTCTTGAAGTGAACGAGGTGGCTGCTTGGGTGTCGTTCCGTCATCACAGAGAGTGATTCATCCGGTTTGAGCCTTTGCGGTATCTTCATTGCACTCAAATCATAATAACTTCATTGTCACACTCTCACGTTCATCCCACTCCTCTTCCTCTACTCTTCACCATCAGACATAGGCTGACTCACTGGACTGTGTGCGCCCCAGGTTGGGCGGTTGGGACAGATGCGCCATGTCTTTCTTCCTGATCTCACAAATGGATTTCCTGCGGGCCTGGACGCCCCTGATGGCCGCTTTTATCTTGCGCCAACCCAGATGGTTGAGCTCGGCCAGGTTGAGCACCACGCAAATGCCACTCACCGCGAACATAAAGACCAGGAAAACCGTTTTTTCCGTGGGCCGCGATACGTAGCACTCCACCTCCTTCAGACACGGGTAGCGGTCACATTCAAAAATCCCAGGCACGCTAAAGCCATAGAGGAAGTATTGGCCTGCCAAAAATCCAATCTCGAGTGCATTTCGGAACACCACTTGAATGATGTAAAAACGAGAGATCCCTTCTTGTCGACGTACTTTGGAGCTCTTCCCGTGCGTGAGGCCTCGCGGGGCGTTGGGGATCTCCTTGACTTCCAAGCAGTCAGGTTCTTCCTTCCCACCGCCGCCGTCACCGCCGTGCTGAACCAAAATTCCGTTAATGTTGCGGAGCTTCCGTGCTCCATCCCGTCCACCGTAGTCCCGGTCCATTATGGGATAGAGAAACGAGTAGCGTCGGTCCCTCTGTTTGGCCGACTGGTGGACCGAGTAGGTAATGAAGCAAAGGCTGGGCGTGCACACCAGTATGATCTGGAATACCCAGTAGCGGATGTGAGAGATAGGAAAGGCCTTGTCATAACACGCCTGGTTGCAACCCGGCTGCAGGGTGTTACAGATGAACATGGTCTGCTCGTCCTCATACACCGTCTCGCCTACAATAGCCACGATCAGGATGCGGAAGATCACAACCACTGTCAACAGGATCCTAGAGAAGGAACAAAGAAAAAAAATCAATGATTTATTTTTCATTGTTGCATAATCAATCATTTGGATCTTAGTTTACCTAAAGGGAAATGGAAAACCTCTGGAAATAATCCACTGCTTGGTCATTATTTGACCTGCCATGAGTAACGCCTTTATGGGCATTTGATGGAATGCAGAACACGGTGTCTAGTTTGTTTCCTGTGTTGCGCCATCCTTCGGACTCTGTTAGGCCCCATTCACATCTAGTAAACGTTTTCAGAGAACCCTCACACGTTATTATTTTTGTTTTAAATGAATAGCATTTCCGCTGCATCCGCGCAGTGATTTCGTCGCGTGTGCCCAGAACCAAAATCAACAATTGAAAAAATAGTGCCAGGCTATATAAAGTATTGGCCCGAATATAAGATGGTGTTTTTTGCATTGAAAATAATAAGTGGGGGTCGTCTTATATTCGGGGTCTAGACATTATACCCATTCACGACGCTAGATGGCGCCAGATATCATTGAAGCGAATGCTGAACTTGACTCCCCAGGCCAAAGTGATCCCCTGTCACGAAGAATAAAAATAAAAATAGCGGTAGCACGAAGAAGAAAAATAAAAAATAGCGGCAAGAAAGAAAAGTGAAGAAAATAATAAAAGAGATAACAGAAAATGGAGAAACGTAGCGACAATCTGGAGAAAAGTGGGTTGAAGATCGGCCAGGTTAACCGGCAAGCTGAGAAGTTATGATGTAATTTACATTTCAAAAACCAGAAGCCATTCATTTACGAATGTGATTGGACTTTAGTTTACATATTGAAATGTTCAGATATTAAGATTTGAATGAGGCAAAATAACATGCTTTTTCTGTTAAATATATTGTTATAATCATTTGTTTCAGATGTACTGTCATTATTTTCTGTATAAAAATTAATGTGGTGTTCAAAAAGTCTTTTTTCAAACTGGAGTCTTGAAAAAGAGGGGGTCGTCTTATAATCAGGGCCGTCTTATATTCGGGCCAATATGGTAAATCCCTCAACAATCCTGCGGTATTTTAACATGGACAGGTCAGAGACCAACCACGATCTTCTGCTCTCTGGTGAGCAGCAACAGATCAGACGCTCCTAGGTTTGGGGAGTATGGAGTTTAACGAGAAGGGTAAACAGGCGACAGAATACTGCAAAAGGCTGTGTACGTCCGACATACATAACAAGAAACATGCTAGTGTCGTCGTAACCACGCTTTGTTGCAAGAACTGATGAAGGCTACTCGGATGAAAAGTGAAACGTAAAACAAACAAAGCAGTTCCAGTTGCGATCGAGTCGAGTGTTTTACTGTGTCTCTTCTACATTCCTCGTGGCATTATGATAGTTGGGGAAAAAAACTAAACATAAACGTAGGTACAGGTCAAGCAATCAGCCACCATTTCTAGTATTTTAATTTCTAGCAGATGAATGCACCACTTAACGAAAGTGTGTAAACCACAGTGACTTTGCAAAGGAAGGCGGTGCACTCTAGTCAACAAAGAAGATCTTGACTGACTTGTGACCTACTCTCCAACCGCTCTGTCGAAGCGGTTGAGACACCAAGTAGCTCTGAAAGAAATGGCCCATGCATAAGAATAAGGGGGAAAAAAACTCCAAATAAAGGTCAGGGAAGGCATCCCCTTCACCAGCAAGAGAGCAAAAGTGCTAGATCACATAGGTAAAGAAAATGGAAAACACCAAGTTCATGATGGAGAGCGACACGCTGTCACTTCTTGGCCACTGTTCATCCTGATGAGAACCAGGGAAGAAAAATTCAGTTCATCAGCAGGGTAGAAAATGCCACAAAATGTCCGCGCTTGGGCACTCCCATGACTCAGATCCGCTTTGTTTGTTTTTCTTCAGGTTTGTGTTCAGTGCCGTTCTGAATATGTTTAACCATGCCAAAAGTAAACAGAACACAGCAAAGGGGCTGTGCAATGAAAATCGTAAAACTGACAAGATGAACATGAGGCTAGTATAGAATGTGTGGTTCATACATGATTTCTTGATACATATTTTACTGTATGCAATATTAATTGTAGGAATTAATCTCTGCGCTGTAGGTAAATGCTAACTCCTCCATCCTCTCATCTCTAGAACTTTTAATGAGGTATAGGGGAGACCGAACTAAACCTCGGTGGCCACCCGCTGACACCCATCAGATTTACCGACAGATGTTCAGCTATCCCACTTCTGACACCAAATTCAGACATCCTGACATTTAAACACAAAATGAACTTCAGACGATATGTCCTCACCATGTCCTCAACTATTAGGCCCTCGGGAGGTGGAACCCCCCTACTCTGTTGCTTTCCAATTCTAGAAGTTGCCTTCTATTGTGAGATCAACAGTTAATATTATCTCTACCCATCCAACCATTTTCCAAACTGCTTTATCCTCACAAGGGTCGCCGGGGGTGCCGGAGCCTATCCCAGCTGTCTTTGGGCAGTAGGCGGCTCAAACCAGCCAATCGCAGGGCACACATAGACATACGACCATCCGAGCTCACACTCACACCTCGGGACAATTTCGAGTTATCATTAATATTATCTCTCACAAGAGATTAGCGGTTTCAAAAGAGATTGACAACTGAAGACAAAGACATCTCTGTAAATCAGGCACGAAGAGAAAAGTCAGCTGATCAACTGCCCACATGTAAAAAACAATTTTTTTCCCCCCTTTTCTTTTAGAACAGCCTCTTTTTCCACAATATATTTGTGTTTGGGTTCTCTCCAGCAAAATGATTCCCTTTGTTCTTTTCTTCCTTCATTCATCTCTCATTTATTTTTCAGATCTAAGGCCAAGCAAATAGCACGTCGATAGCAAGCTTTTTGCGTATCGCTGATTGTGCGTGAACGTTGGCTGCCTCACTCTACTCGTACTGTCGGTCTAAATACAGACTGCACGCAGACAAAGATATTTTTGCTGATTGAGCGCTGTCTTGAGGTTTGAGTCCGTTTCTACTAAAGATCATCTCTCACTAATCACCACCATTTATTTTAATGAGAATCTCATGAATAACAACATGATGAATGGCTCCATTTAATTCATGTGACTGAAAGTGCACAGCATTAAATAGCCCATCGAACGTGACCTCATTACATTAATCATGGATTTATGGCTCTGTGTGCATACAAGTGAAAAGATGATTTGTGTGTGTGTGTGTGTGTGTGTGTGTGTGTGTGTGTGTGTGTGTGTGTGTGTGTGTGCGTGTGTGTGTGTGTGTGTGTGTGTGTGTGTATACATGCAGGGTTCTAAATGAACTTTTTTGAGTCACCAGCCACATTGGCTGGTGACTCTAAATTTACCGGCCAATCAAAATTCCCGCTCGCCGCTTTTTTTTTTTTCAACTCTAGCTCAGTATATTGGGGTCTTGTTCACGAGTGAGGGCAGGAGGGAGCGAAAGATCAACAGGCGGATCGGTGCAGCCTCTGCTGTGATGCGGACTTCGTATCGGTCTGTCGTGGTGAAGAAGGAGCTGAGACAAAAGGCGTAGCTCTCAATTTACCGGTCAATCTACATTCCAACCCTCATCTATGGTCACGGTCATGACCGAAAGAACGAGATCCCGGATACAAGCGGCCAAAATGTTTTTTCTCCGCAGGGTGTCCGGGCTCTCGCTTAGAGATGAGGTGAGAAGCTCGGTCATCTCGGAGGGTCTCAGAGTAGAGCCGCTTCTCCTCCATGTCGACAGGAGCCAATGAGGTGGCTCGGGCATCTGATTAGGAAAGCCTCCTGGACGCCTCCCTAGTGAGGTGTTCCGGGCATGTCCCACTGGGAGGAGACCCCGGGGACGACCCAGGACACACTGGAGAGACTATGTCTCCCAGCTAGCATGGGAACGCCTCGGGATTTCCCGGGAAGAGCTGGAAGAAGTGGCTGGGGAGAGGGAAGTCTGGGCTTCACTGCTTAAAGCTGCTGCCCCCGCGACCTGACCCCGGATAAGTGGTAGAAGATGGATGGATGGATGGAGCTCAGGTGTTGTTATCTACCTCCCTCATACTATTTCTATTCATTTCTCAACATTGGTTGCACTCTAGTCCAGGCACGACCAGCTCCGATGCTCAAGGACTGCTGCCCTGCCTGTTTTCCATCTCTCCCTGCTGCAACGCACCGAATTCAAATGACCAGAGTCGAGTTTGGACATCACTGCTCCAGACTGTCGCGTGAAATACGGCATTCGCATCACCAATGGGCATATTTAATGTCATTATGTAGCATTCCAACACAGTATTTACTGGAACTATGAGTGTCACTACCAGGGGTGCAACGGACGGAAAACAAAACAGAGGTAATTAGAATTTGAATGATTCTAGTTTTCCTTCTTTTGATTACGGTTCCAAATAATTCTCAATTTGGATTGGAAAAAAACAAACAAAAAAAAAAAAACGACATAAACTGAGTTTGAGAGTGAATAATTGACCATCTCTGCCCAAGCAATCCTTTATTATCAAATTTATGATGCTGAATTGATAAGTTATTATTTTCTGTTTCCCTCAAGCTTTCTTTCTGAAAACCTCATGAGTACACACCGGCCTCACACTGATGGGCTAACTTGCTGTGTAGACAGACACAAGCAGATCAATTTGGTAACCTTTTTCAGATGAACAGCAGGTACAGTGTGTGTTTACAAAGAGCCCGTTGTGGACACATCATGTCTTTTCGTGCAGGTGAGAACACCAAAAATACTCTATATGCTGATGTAAGATGATTATTTGCATTTGAATTAAGTCACCATTTAGTTGTGAGATATGTCAATGTTGGCACGAGACATATTTTTAACTCACTTAATTATGACACTAATGTTCAACCTACTGTAGACTGATGCTGAAAGTGGGAGACTGCCAGACACAGCGCTCCGTCAACTGATGCACTTCGTCAACCTGCTTTGCGCAATTTTGTCTTATAATTTGTAAGTGTTGCACCAACACTTAATTTAGTTGAACTAAATTAAGTTGTGATTGACGTCTGGTGCACACGTGCAGCGTGAGCGTG